TCAAATTTATAAAAACCATGATTAATTAACAGTAAATGATAATAACCATATGATTTTATTTAAATTATATTTAGTTCTATAAAATATCTAATGAATCGATTTTGTATTATTTTATTAATATTCGATTACTAAAATTATGGAGCAAGCTTCCCAAATAAAAATCAAAATATTTTTTAATTAAAAAACAGTAACTGCATAAACTTAAAGCATATTCTAAAAAATTGGATTTTAGCATATTTTCATAATATTACAAACAATATTGATAATTTTTTTATTGTAGATGTAATAACATATTAATAATAGGAAAAGTCAAGCTAGAAATTTTTATTGTAGATGTAATAACATTTTTATCTTCATTTCAACATTGTTTCATTAGGCATTACAAACTAGAAATGCCAAGCTATTTGAAGTATTTATGTGAGGACTCCCGCGCAAGTGCGCAGATCCAAAATCTAGATTTTGGTAATTTTTAAAATTTGGTCGTGAATAACGATTTTGCAGATTTTATGAGATTTACGGGAAAACACGGGTTTGTGAAATGCGAATAACACAATTCTGCGAATTTTATGGGTTTTACAGGTTTTAGCGAGAAAATGTAGTCATACAGGAAAATGCGGGTTTGTGAGTTTGACATGAGTTTAGAAATTTGGTCGTAAAACATAATTTTATGAATTTTACAATATTACGGAAAAACACGGGTTCTTGTGAATTTGACGGGAAACCTGATTTTACGGATTTTACGAGGTTTACATGTTTTTGCGGGTTTTATAGTTTTGATGGGAAAATGTAGTATTATGAATTTTATTGAAAATACAGATTTGCGGGTTTGACGATAAAATGCAATTTTGCAGGTTTGACAAAAACTACTTAATTTTATAAATTTAGCCATAGAATACGATTGTATAGTGTTGGAGGAAAACATAAGTTTTGGTTTTGTTAAAAAATGTGGGTTTACAGTTTTGGCAGAAAAATACGGTTTGATGGAAATGCTATTTTTACAATTTCTACCGAAATTTTCGGTTTTGGTACAACAACGTGATTTTACGATTTTTTAGTTTTTTATTTCTATAGAAAAAAATAGTTTTGACAAAAAAAATTTGATTTTGTGGTTTAAATTAAAAGATGTTTTTATCTGTTAAGTTTTGAGATTCAAATGTTGCATCAAAATTCTATTTTTTAGCATTTTATATATTCAAATTTTGAAATATTATAGAATTTGTATTCAGATAAAATATCTATATACTGATTTAAAAATATTAAAAAAAATAATATTTGAGAGCATTTGCATCTAAATAAGTATCTAGAAGCAAAAGCAAACAAATCTAAGAATCTTAATTACAAACAAATAAAATCTCCCTTACATTATAAAACATAATATTTTAAAATATTTGTTACAAAACTTAACAAAAAATCCGCTAATCAAAATATTTTTTTTTATAAAATCAAGCCTGAATAATCTTAAGAACATAAAACCATAATGTTAAAATAGTTTATATAATTTAATAAAAAAATTCTATTTGGACCACAATTTTAGATTTAATTATATAAGCTAATTTTTTTTGAACAAAAGTTTACTATAAACCTATTTTTGCTATGATCCAAAAATATTTTATACAAACGGACTATTCATTCTCTCGAAATAAAGCTATGATATATATGTACCAGAAAACAGACTATCTTATAACATAATATATAAATCTTTTTATACTACAAAATTTAAACATTTATAAATTTACTTCAAGAATCATATACCTGCACAGACGCGCAGGTCCAACATCTAGTTTTTTTTTTAATAAACTAGTTATATTAATTAGTATATGCAAAATTCATAAACTTCGTATCATAATTTTGATTTTGTTATATCAGTTAATATACCTGGTCTAATGGACTAAACTAAACCATAAATAATTAAGATTGGTTTGTTTGAATTTTGGATGTGTAAGATTAGGTGAGTAAAGGATGATTCAAACTTAATTCAAGCATAGAATCCAAACAGAACTCAGCTTTATCTTTATTTTGGTACGATGAAGTATGTAATATGTTCAAGCTGGAATCGGTTTGGTTACAATAATTAAGATTGGTTTGTTTGAATTTTGGATGTGTAAGATAAGGTGAGTGAAGGTGATTCAAACTTAATTCAAACATAGAATCCAAACAGAACTCAGCTTTATCTTTATTTCTTGTAGGATGAAGCATGTAATGTGTTCAAGCTGGATTCGGTTTGGTTATAAACCAGTTACAACCATTTCATTAATCAAATTATTGTATGTGTTTAGGTGCATCTTCTTTCAATGCTCCTCACGACTGCTTTGGTATTATGATACTAGGTAATAATCTGTGCGGAGTAAAATAATTGTTATTTATTTATATTTAATATAATTTTAAAATTATATAATATAATATAATTAAAATAATATAAATTTAATATAATATTATACAAAGATAATGTAATAGTAATGTATATTAATTTAAAAATTAAGTAGCATGCATAACATATGATATAGATGGGTAAAAAATATGAAGTTACCATACAGATTTTCAATATCCTGTAATTGATGATATTATTCATTATTTTCACCAATGTCCAAGATTTGGATATACAATTTATGTACATATTTAATTAATTTTGACTCTTAAATAATTAAATACTATTAGTTAAATAGTTTGTTACTTATCTATTAAATATTATTAGTTAAATAAATTAAAACATTTTTTTAGTCCCAAATTGGACTTATTCAAAATTTGATACAAATCAATAAGATAATATTTTTTTAAAAAAAAATCTACATAAATATATGGTCCATTAATATCATAAATTAATAATTACCATAAAATAATCTTATATAAAAATATAACTATGATCATTTACTAAAATATGAATATATAATGATTTGTTTTTTTTTTAATTGAAATAATGTTATGGTTTATCTACAATTTAAAAGTGAAGTATTTAAAGATATTACTAACTTTTAAAACAAATACAATTTTTAATTAATTATTAATAAATAATTTATTTAGTTCTAAACCGATAATTTTATAAATTAAGAAAATATTGAAATCACAATATTATCATTTTATAGAATTTTCACAGTAATTAAATTGATTGATTTAAAACAGACAAACTAAGAAAAAAAAACATGAACAAATCTTGCTGAAAAATTGATACTATATATGTTAAATCAAACATTAATTAAAAAAATAAACAATTAATATTGATATTATCATATTATGATCTCTTGCAAAAAAAAAGTAAGCAATAATGCTATATACCATATTTGTCATCTAAGAATCATATATAAATTAAATCATAATGCAATATATCATATTTCCTTATATAGTAAATCTGAATATTAAATAATATATATCATAATAATTTTGAAAATTCATCATTTTCTTTTTAATTGATGTTTGTGATAAAAATAACATATATTTTTAATTTATATTTTGTATATATTATTATGAATTGTTAAAAGATATTATATATGTTTTTACAGTTATTTTCATGCATGCTATAATTATAACAATATGTGAATAAAATCATTATGATTTTCTTTTATTTGTTCTGATTGATTTTTGAAAAAATAAAATATTATCTTTAATTATTCTGTTGTATTTATAAAAATATTTTTAGTAAACAATTAATAAACATATTTTTGAGAAAAATAAAATATTATTTTTAATTATTATGTCGTATTTATAAAAATATTTTTAATAAATAATTAATAAACATATTTTCTAATAAAAGTAGTAAACATTAGTAAAGTGTTATATATTTGTTATGAATTTGAAAAAAAATAAAATATTATTTTTTAATTTTTCAATTGTTTTTATAAGAATTTTGTTTTATAAATAATCAATAAAAATATATTTTTTAAAAGTAGTAAGCATAAATAAGTATTATATATTTTACTATGAATGATAAAAATAGTAAATATTAAAAAAATATTATATATTTTATTATAAATTTATAATAAAAAATATATGGATAGTATTTTAAAAATATTATATAATAAATTTCGTGTATATTATATTTAGTATTAAATAAATTTATTTTATTAAATTATTAATTCTAATATTATTGTCTTTGAATTCATTTTAAAAAATAATATATAACATATTTATGGACCTAAAATATACAATGGCATATCATGTAATTAGTTTAGTAATCTAAGTCTTTTTAAAAAAAATAGCTGAGAATGAATATGGGATTGACACATCAGCAAAATGGCACCATTGTAATATTCTACAAATTTAAGGTTTCTCTTTAAAAATGCTTCTCTTTTAATATATAGGGGATTATCACATTGTCAAAATTATCCTTAATGAATCTATAGAAATTTAATGGCATATACTGTAAATAACACAGTAACTAAATGTTAATTTTAAAAAATGATCTTCTTTTAATAATTTAGATATAATATAACATAAAACAGCATATATTTATGTCTAACGCTAGATGTTTTTCTAATATTACTAAGGAGTTATATAAATTTGGAACTCGTAAAATTGGAGTATTTTGTGCAGTACCTGTAGGATGTGTACCGCTCTAGAGAGCAGTGTTTGGAGGTATGTTAACAAGAGGATGTGTTAAACCATTCAACAATATGGCAAAACAATTCAACGCAAGGGTTTCTCCAGCACTTGAATCTTTAGATAAAGAGCTGGATGGTGTTATACTTTACATTAATGTTAATGATACTCTTTTCGACGTGATCCAACATCATAAAAAATACAGTAAGTTCATCATATGGCTATAGTTTTCACAATTGTAAAAAATACAGTAAGTTCATCATATGGCTATAGTTTTCACAAGGAATCAGAGATGATATAAACAGAGAAACAGTTAGAAAAAATCAAAATTCTCACCTGGTTTGCCACCGTTGAGTATGTTATTTTCAGCAGGCTCAACTCCATATATCTACCGTTTGCAAGACATTAATGATCAAAAGCAATCCCTTTTTGTCGACATTCACAAGATATCTTCAGAAACCTAAATCAAATCACCTTGATATAAGGTATTGGCCAACACCAGAGATTGTGCCTCCACTGTCAATTCCCATCACGAAGATATCGACATTCCCAAGCGTATCTTCCCAAATCTTAGGACCAGTAGTATCATAATGAATCTGCATCAATATTCCACGCATGAGTGTGAGATACAAAATGCAAAGAAAAGAGGATCTATTTAACTATTTAAGTACATGAGTGTTTGCTGGATTAACAAACTGTTGCAGCATATGAGCATAAGGAGTATTCTCAAGGAGGTCATAAGCTTTCTTAATGGTTCCACCCATTCCTTTGGCTGGATCAGTGAGGACAAGCTCTGCACCAAAGGATCTCAACGTCACTCTCCTTTCCAAGCTGGTGTAAGAAGGCATTGTCATTATAATTATATACACTTTCAAAGCCGCCATGAATGCCAAACTTAACAACCTACAAACAGACAAAAAGATAACAGATTCTACAGTATTAAGCAAACAAAGCGTATGATTATACTGAACAACACAATGGATCGCCAATAGTATGTGTTCTTAGGTTTGTGAACATCAAGACATACAAATATATATTTATGTTCATATTAATTTAATATTCACATTTTCATTTTTTATTAGTTTTAAAAAAAATTAAAAAATACTTTTATAAAGTGCTAACTATTTATCTGAAATTTCTTACTATGTAGGAAACGTATTTGTGCAAAATTCTTTTAAAAGCAACACAACTACTCTTCGATACAACAACCACATATTTTGAGAATTTCAAATCAAGTTATATAATTTTTAATACATGAGTATAAATGCTACTGGAAATATAAATTATATTATTCAATTATATTATTTCGGTTCAAAAGTTGCCAACATTAAATTAAATGATCACACATATTAATAGCAACCAATTATCATTTGGTTCTTCAATTGATATGCATGCAGAGTTTTTTTCGAAGAACAAATGGAAATCTATTTTTAAAATTCTTCAATTTAATGAGGTATGTTCATTTTTCTTAAAATACCAATCAAGATTTGGATTACCCATTATATGTTATCATTTTTAGTCTAATAAATGTAACATTATAAACAGGCTGGTAAAGTCCTGACTTCTGCCAAGGTTGAAGCTATTGATAATCCAAAACAATGGTATTACTTAGCTTGCAAAACCTGTGGTTTGAAGGTTCAACAATATGGTGAAGATTTTGATGATGTGGATAGGAAGCCCATTTTCAATTGCAAGACATGTGGTGATATTGAAGATGTCTTTTCCAAGTATGAAATTTATTTTAAATTATGTATTTGGATAAACCATTCAGCTTGAAGTTAAAGTTCTTATTTTTTTCAGATATTATCTGATTTTACGTGTATCAGACGATTTTTTTTCAGAAACCAGATTTCTGTTATTTAATAAACTTGCAGCAAAATTGATTCAAACTTCTGCTACTGATATTTTTGAAAAATATTCTGAGGTATATTTTTCAAATATAAGTGTAGAAAACGATCAAAATAATATTTATTTATTTATTTTTTAGCAATATCTTCATATTTTACTCATAATACAGTTTAATGTTTTGTAGGAAGATCCATAATTTCTACCCTCTGAACTTAAAACCATTGTTGGAAAGAAATTTCTATTCAAAATCACCTTGGAAGAGAGAGCTAAAAAGGTTAATAATTCTCCGTATACTGTTGAATTATTTTGGGATGATGATGATGAAATTAAGCTTTTCGAGACTCAATCTTTCACAGAGGTACATGTCTTAATTACTTGGATTTAGATGATAATTATTTTACTAACAAAAGAAACTATGCTGACCAAGGTATTTTTTCATATCATTATAATGTAGGAACCACTCATGCTTACAAATTCTGAGGAAATTTAAGAGGGTTTATCATTAACACCTTTGTCGAAGAGAAGCTATATAAACAATCAAGATAATCCAGTTAAAGATCAGAATTCTGTCACTAAGAAGATGAAAAAAGAAAAATAGTTTGTTTTTTATTACGTTTTTGCATGTTTTACTTTCTCTTCTCTTTTGAATATTTAAGGATTTTATTCCATATTCTATTTTAATTCTTTATTACTTAATAAGTTCTCCTTTTTAATAATTCTTGATGTCTCGCACTTGGTAAATGAGTTGAGTTTATTCTGATGGTCTATTATGATGAATCAGAAGCACTAGAAACTGTGATGAACCGTATTATGGTTAAGGAGTCTATGTTTTTAGCTTGGATGGAAGCTAATAAGATATATCCGGATGCAAAAGATCTGCTATATGCTGACTTTCCTACAAAGTTTGTTTGGCATCTCAAAGACAGAGTATGGAAGCCTAGGCAAAGAGGATTTGCTATTGGGAGAATTGCACATATTCATCATGCATTAGGTGAAGTGTATTATTTGAGAGTTTTGCTTAACTACGTAAAAGGACCAACATCTTATGAGGACATAAGAACTGTCGATGATTTTGTATATCCTACTTACCTGGAGGCTTGTGAAGCAAGGGGTTTGTTGGATGACGTCAAAGAATACATTGAATGTATTAAAAAAGCCAGCAATTGGTGTGGTGATAAATATATTCGCATGTTCTTTTCTATAATGTTAATTGCAGACAATCTGTCTCTGCCTCATGTTGTTTGGGAAGAAACTTGGGAATATCTAACCGAAGACATACTTTTCAATAAGAGGAAAGAAACTGGAAACATAGGTACGTCTAAGTTTTTAATTACTTTTTAAAACACTTATATATAACACTTGTGCAGGCTAAATAATTATATGTCTTTTTTTGTTTTTTTGAACATCACAGGTCTTAATTTGTTAGTTGATCAAATCAAAACATAGCTCTGTCAGAAATTCAGGATATATTGCTGAGCAATGTGCGTACTTTATCAAAATGGAAACAGATGCCATTGCCAGATGATTTCTATAATTACACTGGCAACCGTCTAATTGATGATGATCAGAATTATATCCCAGCAGATGAATGTAAAGAACATGAAAGACTCATGGGGATGATTACCGATGAGCAAAGAGCAATTTATGAAGAGATTGCAGATGCAGTATTCAATGATAAAGGTGGAGTGTTTTTTGTCTATGGTTTTGGAGGTACAGGTAAAACCTTTCTATGGAGTACGCTTTCCGCCGCTATTCGTTCAAAAGGTCTAATTGTTGTTAATACTGCATCAAGTGGAATTGCTGCGCTTTTGTTACCAGGTGGTAGGATAGCCCACTCGAGGTTTGGCATTCCAATTACACCAGACGAATTCACATCAACATGAGTCCAGGATCAGATATTGCTGAACTAATGAAGAAGTCAAGTTTTATAGTGTGGGATGAAGCTCCTATGATGAGTAGGCATTGCTTTGAGAATTTAGATCATAGCTTACGAGATATTATCAGATCAAAAGAGGATAAGCCATTTGGAGGCAAAGTAGTTGTGTTTGGTGGTAATTTTAGACAGATTATGCCTGTTATCACTAGAGGTATCAGAGCGGAAACCGTTTTGACATCTCTAAATGCATCATACCTTTGGAAGCATACCAAGGTTTTAAAGCTTACAAAGAATATGAGATTACTTGCTGGGCTTAGTGATCACGATGCTGCAGATCTTAAAGCTTTCTCTGAATGGATTTTGGATATTGGTGATGGAAAGATTAACCATCCAAACGACGGCTTGGTTGAAATTGGTATTCCCAAAGATTTGTTACTATTGTTCGCGAGGTTTATGGATATTCTTCAACAAAGTCTTCTGATCTGAATTTTTACAAGTCTAGGGCGATCATTAGCCCTACAAATGATGATGTTGATCAGATTAATGACTACAAGCTTTCGAAATTGCCAGGTAATATTTTTAAACTATTTTCACCTTCATTTCTATTTTAAAATTTTTGTTATTTAGATTCACATGGTTTTTTTAATTAACAAAGTTGCATTTATAATTACAAAATTAATAGAATATCCATTTCATAATAGGTTTGTTAGAATAAATATCGAATATTTTATCATTTAAATATCTTTCTTTGATTTACTTTCATAAATATAACTACCATATAATATACTAAATCCATAATGTACAAAGCATAAATTGTTTTAAACGTTAAGTTTAGTTAAGCTGTAATATCATTTTGTTTGTTATGAAACTTGTTTGGTTCAAAAAATATGAAACTATTTTCTGAAATTCTAATTAAAATAATAATGTTTATATAATATAAGTGTAGTCATAATAAACATGTTAGAATTCTAAAAATTTATATCTTTTTCAAATTGTTTTTATGGATTTCTTGGTATGTCCACAACTGATCTTCTTACTATTTAAAATTTTCAGGTGATGAGAAAGTATACCTTAGCTCTGACAGCATTATTCCTTCAGATAAAGATACATTGAATAAGGATATGTTCACAACTGATCTTCTTATTATTTTAATATCTCAGGTGATGAAAAAGTATACCTTAGCTCTGACAGCATTATTCCTTCAGATAAAGATACATTGCATAAGGTGGATTACCCAACAGAGTTTTTGAATACCATCAAAGTTTCTGGATTACCGAAGCATTGCTTGAAATTAAAGGTTGGTGCTCCTGTCATGTGTCTTCGTAACATAGATCCTAAGGGTGGAATATGCAATGGAACTAGACTTATTATTACTCAAATGGCTAGACATGTGGTTCAAGGTAGAATTATAATGGGAAATGAGAAAATGATTGGTCAAGTAGTTCTAATTCCCTAGGATGTATGTGACACCACCAGATACAAGGTTTCCTTTCAGAATGCGACGTAGACAGTTCCCTTTGGCTTTAGCTTTCACAATGACTATCAACAAAAGCCAACGGCAATCACTTGAGAATGTCGGTTTGTTTCTACCTAGACCAGTTTTCTCTCATGGACAGCTATATGTTGCATTATCTAGAGTTAAGTCTAGATCAGGACTCAAAGTTCTCATAACAGACAAAGAAGGAAAAGTGAAAAAAAAAACTATGAACGCCGTCTATAAGGAAGTGTTTCAAAATCTTTCTTAATTTTATTCTTATCGTATCTTTAAACTCTATTTATATGTTTTAATAGTTTCAGTTTATTTACTTATTATATTTACTTTTTTTTGTAAGGAACCATTTTATATTCTTCATTAATATTTTTATTATTTAGAATTTTCTATTATGAGCCATTAAATTTTCCATTTCAGATATTATTAACTTTTACTATTAAATGTTCAATGATATTATTAATACATACTTAATCATATAAATAAAGCAATTTTTGATATACAATTTTTTTTTAACATATAACATGTTTTATATCCCGCACACGGTGCGGGCCGATCACCTAGTAATATTGTATATTTCAGGTTGTGAAAACCGATTTACTACCATGTTACTGGTAAGGAATAATAATTAAAGTTTGTTGTCTTTGAAACCATAAGGAAAGTCAAAACTAGTTAGAGATAATATCCGACGTAACAAATATTTTTCAAAAAAGATATTTTTAGAAGTTCAAAAAATTTAAACAATATATATATATATGTATATCTTGAAATTTGTAAAACACAACCACATCTTGAGCAAACAAGTAAATAAATCAAATAAGACAATGAAGCTTCAAATTTTATGGCTCCTTTTAGTATTAATAATCATTGAAACTAATGCACCAAAAGCTGGGAAACAATGTAACAATCCCAGTATTGATAGTTTTTGGAGATTCAATAATGGATACTGGTAATAACAATAATCTGCCCACTCTTTTAAAATGCAACTTCCCACCTTACGGCAAGGACTTCCCCAATGGCTTTGCTACTAGAAGATTTTCTGATGGAAGAGTTCTCTCTGATCTAATTGGTAACCATTTGAATGTATTTTTTACATTTTTGTATTTAAAGTATGGTAGCTATTTTAATACTGTGATGCATTTGTTTTAACCAACTTTTTATTTCAGCAGAAAATTTGGGATTGGCAAAGACATTGCCAGCATATATGAAAGAAAATTTAAAGCCTGAAGATCTTCTTAAAGGTGTAACATTTGCATCAGGAAGAACCGGTTACCATCCACTTATGGTATAATACAATATATTATTCACCATTACTGTTAGCTTCATATTATATGTGATACATTTATTTTATTTTATCATTTTGTTGTCAGTGATATTAGTGTGAAATTAACTTAAGTATTTCAAAGAATATATATCAAAGATCAGACAACATTTTGGAGAAGGAAGAGCCCAAATTATCTTGGACCATAGGTTTTTCTCGTGGTTTCTAGTAGCAATGATCTTGCTCATGCTTATATGGCTCAATCTCATAGATATGATTGCACATCATATGCCAACTTCTTAGCTGACTCAGCCGTCAAATTCGTACGGGTAAGTATTTTAAATTTATTTATATAATATAACATAAAATAGCATATATTTATGTCTAACGCTAGATGTTTTTCTAATATTACTTAGGAGTTATATAAACTTGGAACTCGTAAAATTGGCGTATTTTGTGCAGTACCTGTAGGATGTGTACCGCTCCAGAGAACAGTGTTTGGAGGTATGTTAACAAGAGGATGTGTTAAACCATTCAATAATATGGCAAAACAATTCAACGCAAGGGTTTCTCCAGCACTTGAATCTTTAGATAAAGAGTTGGATGGTTTTATACTTTACATTAATGTTTATGGTACTCTTTTCGATGTGATCCAACATCCTAAAAAATACAGTAAGTTCATCATATGGCTATAGTTTTCACAATTGTAAGATATAACTTGAACCAAGTTATAAATATATTATATCATCGTGTTTCAGGTTTTAGGTAGCTGATAGAGGATATTGCGGTAGTGGCTCTCTTGCTATATCTTATATGTGTAACATATTCAATCCATTAAGATGCTCTAATTCTTTGGCCTATGTATTATGGGCTAGCTATCATCCGACTGAAAGTGCTTATCAAGTTATTGTTGACAACTTGCTCGACAAATATTTAAGCAAAGTTATTAGATGTTAATAATCTAAATCTAACTTATTTATACCTTAGTGTCATCGTGTTTCTGCATTTTATTCTTGTCACTATGTAATGCATTTTAAATTTTCATTGTATCATAGAAAATTTCTTCTTATGCATACTACTCACATAACACAATCTTTAATGCCTACCAAGAGCGTCATCCCAATGATGTGATCCCACATGACTTAACAGTCTTTCGAGTTGAACTATAATACCACTAGTAACCCTTACTCCGCTACCGCCAGTGGGCCTCTATGCCTACACTCGGCATGAGGATCTCACCCTCGTCTGATGGTCGTTTCCTACTTCGAGAGGCTCAACAGACTTGATATGCTGATACTACAAACTATCACAATTTTTTTCCATGTTTTGTCCTCAATTATATGGTATTAAAAATCACTTTTCGAGGTCACCGATCATTAAATTGCCCTAATTCAAACACTCTTAACTTTTAAGTTCTTTTTGGAAAAGTGATCAAAAAGATATGTGCTTTTTTGATGATATAGATAGCCAAATCAATTATTTTAAGCTTTCGTCATGCACCATGGCATACATGAAATTGAGGTGTTACATTTATTATTCATGTATGTGTGTTTAAGGGGTTTGCAAATGGGAATGCTACCTTGATAATATATTTGTAGATTTTTTTTTTTTTGCTTAAAAAGATTATTTCTTTTCTTGTTCATATTGTGTATAATTTTTTGACCCTATAATAACTGATCTTAGATTTATAAACCCACAACAGTGTTTAAATTTTTTTATTGCTTGCACTAGTTGAGAGGAGTTTGATCACTTAACATGAAAGAGTTAAGTTATTAGGTACTTGTAAATATATCAAAATTAATTCTAATGTATTTTTAATTTCATTATTGTCTGTGAGAGTTGGCTAGTCAGATTGAGAGAGTCCTTTAAAATATGTTTTAAATGTTTTTCATACTGTCAAGTGATTGCTTATTTATTTGTGCATCAGACAAAAAATTAGGTTTTCTATGCTTCAAAACTCCTAACTTCCTATGTGAGACATATTTTACACTCACTCTCTAAAGATGAAAACCTATGGTACATTAATCTATACCTAATGTCAATATCCCTTTGAGATAACAACTCTTCTAGCCAATAATTTTGATTGACCACCAATCCTCAAATAGGGGCATGGGCCAGTTTTTTTTCTAGATTACATGTGTGTGGATTGGCCTGTGATACTATGTTAAGTTTAGTTGAATTTGTACTCAAAAACAATTGACAATTAGTGAGTTGATCCAAGTGTTATTTATATTAGTCAAAGGTCCCTCACAATTTCCAGATGCTTACAAATTGAGTCCCATGTGCAAAATTAGCAAACTCTCTCCCATGCACATTTATCTAGGTGCCGCTTCCGCTCTGCTCCGACCATGGTTTCCCTCCGCCAGATCACACCCGTGCCTCTTCGTCCTTGCCTACCACTTGTCCATGCCGGCGTCATAATCCATTTTCTTTCCTCCATCATGATGGCTAATCGACGATGAGTCTTTCTGTTTTCTTCAGCCGGTACGCTGCCTTCTGCAGATCGGAGCTCCGACACCGCTCAGCCTCCGGTGGTCACTTCCTCGCCTTAGCTTACTTTTCCTAAGCCGCCAGAACCTCCGCAACCGCCATAACCCACCGGATCCACTGGACTCTCCGAGTCTTCTGGTGGCTACATTTCTTTCTGTCGCCATGGATTTTGGCCTATTGTCGATGCCAGATCCTCCCGAACCACCAAATCCACCTGTCTTTCCTTCTATCCTCAGCGTTTCCTCCTCCCACGCTCCCTCGGCCATCTTCGTTCTATTCCCACCTTATTCAGATCTAGATTTTCCAGCAACCTCTGCCTCTGGGTCTTTTCTGGCTTCTTCTCCGCTTGCCTTCTTGCGACTCTTTGCTGTTGTGTGCAGATCTTTCGAGTCTTTGTGAGCCATTAATGATGTGTGCAAATCGTATCAGATTTGTTTTCAGATCTGTTTTGTTTTCCAATCTGAGTTTTTCTCGATCAGGTATGATGTTCACATCTTGATTTCCTCTCCTCTAATCACTATGAGTCGTGTGTACTTTAGAACTAAGATGTATTTAGGATTTTCTAGTTCATTTGGTGGAATCTGTGAACATCTGAGCCATTTCTCCTTTGAGGAGCTTTCAAAGGTGGTGGTATTTTACAACAATTCTGTTTATCGTTGGTCTTAGTTTGGCTTGGAATTCTCTAGGGGAATTTTAATCCTTTAGTGAGCGGTTTGATATTTCTTTTTGTCCTTTAGGTGAGAAAAGTTAATTTGCAGAAAAGGAGTTAAGCAATAGTTTTTGGTCATTCAGAAGATGAATTCAATGTCCTCTTCCAATGTATTTTTTACTGACTGCTTTTAGGTTCTTACATTGCTTCGGTCCAAGTCAAGTGAAGACTTATAACCATCTCCACAACTGCTGCTTCAAGAACCCTTGCCCTTCAATTGGCGCTCACGGATGCATTCTCCACAGATTTCACCTTGCTACAAACGTTTCCGGACATGAATGTCCTAATTATGCCCCTCTTGTTGGGAACAGAATTGAACAAGATAGCAGGCTTGCAAAGCCTTGTTATTCTCTTCTTGTCCATCTATGTTTTGTTAACTATCTTTCTTCGTTATGTGTTGCAGTTGTTTTAGCTATTGCTCTGTTTTTAAATGTCTCTCCTCTTTGTATGGACCCGTTTCAGCTTGTTTAAATGAGAAAGAAACTACTTGACCAAAAAAAAGTACCATGGGCAATTTAACTCTACCTAAATCCCCATAAATGATTTGGGAACCAAACAATTATTATCGATTTAGAATTAGGGACATTAGGATGGGATTAAAAAATTACGATGTAAGACTATGTACAATGGTACAAAGATTCAACATCCTCCACCTCAATTTTTAATATTTCACATCATCTTCTCTCTCTTCTACCTAATCATTCAACACCATACCCTACTAATTTATTTTATATTATTATTTTCTTTTATCTTCTAATAATTACATTTTTATAACAATTATTGATTATGATTAAACTAAACAAATTACGAAATTATTTTGATTTTGAATTTGATCATTGTGAAGATTTGGGTATAATTAAATGGATAATTGATAGAATTTTGGGTATTAGAAGGATTATTATTGGGATCCATTCTGAGAAAAAAAATTTAAAACTAAAAATAAGTATTTATAAAAAAATTTGTAAAGCTTAGAAAAGATGATTTTTTGTGTGTCCAAATCAAATGAACCAAGTATCTATTTATAGAACATGAAAAATGATAAATTTTGTTATATAAATATTTATATATTTAATTCGTTATGGAATAATTGATATCGAATCATTGAGATGAAAAAAGAAAACCAGAAATCTAAACAACCAATCAGAATTCAGCTTATATTGTTATCTCTATATAAATATATAATTATTTTCGGTTCAATCAAATTAAGACACGTGGTAGTTACTTTTACTTAACACCTCATTGCATACATTCAACTGTTGAATAAATTATTCAACATACCCATTGTAAGTAGTCTAATGACACAGTTTATAACTTTAAGGAAATAAAAATGACAGAATTTAGAACTTTGTGAGAAATAAATCAAGACAGCACCTAGTATCTATCGTTTATGGTTAGGAATACTCGGGTATCTAATCCCATTCGTTCCTCTAGAACATTTTCTTAAGAAAACAATTTATGACATGCCTAAAATGTTTTAAGCACAAACCATCTTACTATATAGAAAAAGGGTATACAAACATATATAAAGTATATATTGTCCCTACAATAAAATAGTTTATTTTTTAAAAAAGTTTACGACTGAAATTATTCATCGCAAATTTACTATGAAATTCCGACGAACTAGCTATGTCCCTTCACCTTGTCGCCAAACCATTGCAAATTTGTATTATGCTAAAGGTTTTTCTAGAAAATCTCCATAGCAAATTTAATATTTTTTTGTAGTGAGTATACAAATGAAGGTTATAATTTGGTCTAACTACGAATAAAGGTAAAGCATGTGCATGGTTTGGAGTTCATCATATACTGTACGTATGGATATATGTCTTTAGTCATATGTGAGATGGCATGTTAAGGTTTGACTAAATACATTTTGTGTTTTACTATATCTGTGGTTGTATTGATGAATATGGTGTCTGTCCCAAACATAGTATTGTATATTTCAAGTTGTGAAAACTAATTTATTACGATAAGGAATAACAATTAAAATTTGTTGTCTTTGAAACCATAAGGAAAGTCAAAACTAATAAGAGATAATATCCAGCGTAACAAATATTGTTCAAAAGATATATTTTTAGAAGTTCAACAAATTTAAACAATATATATACACATATGTTTTGAAATTTGTAAAACACAACAACATCTTAAGCAAACAAGTAAATAAATTAAATAAGACGATGAAGCTTCAAATGATATGGCTCGCTTTAATATTAATAGCCATTGAAACTAATGCAGCAAAGCTGGGAAACAATGTCACAATCCCAGCACTAATAGTTTTTGGAGATTCAATAATGGATACTGGTAATAACAATAATCTTCCAACTCTTCTAAAATGCAATTTCCCACCTTACGGCAAAGACTTTCCCAGTGGCTTCGCTACTGGAAGATTTTCTGATGGAAGAGTTCCCTCTGATCTAATTGGTAACAATTTAGAAGTATTTTTTACATTTTTGTATATAAAGTAGGATAGCTATTTTTATAATGTGATGCAATTTTTATAACCATCTTTTTATTTCAGCGGAAAAGTCGGGATTGGCAAAGACATTGCCAGCATATATGAATGCAAATTTGAAACCTAAAGATCTACTTAAAGGTGTAACATTTGCATCAGGAGGAACCGGTTACGATCCACTAACGGCTAAAATTATGGTATATTACAATATATTATTCACCATTACCGTTTGCTTCATATTATATATGATACATTTATCTTATTTTATTTTTTGTAGTCAGTGATATCAGTGTGGGATCAACTTAAGTATTTCAAAGAGTACATATCAAAGATCAAACAACATTTTGGAGAAGAAACAGCCCAGTCTATCTTGGACCATAGCTTTTTTCTCGTGGTTTCTAGTAGCAATGATCTTGCTCACACTTATATGGCTCAATCTCACAGATATGATCGTAAATCATATGCCAACTTCTTAGCTGACTCAGCCGTCAAATTCGTAGGGGTAAGTATTTTAAATTTATTTATATAATATAACATACAACAGCATATAATTATATCTAACGCTAGATGTGTTTCTAATATTTCTTAGGAATTATATAAACTTGGAACTCATAAAATTAGAGTATTTAGTGCAGTACCTGTTGGATGTGTACCACTCCAGAGAACAGTGCTTGGAGGTGTGTTAACAAGAGGATGCGTTAAACCATTAAACAATATGGCAAAAAAATTCAACACAAGGCTTTCTCCAGCACTCGAATCTTTAGATAAAGAGTTGGATGGTATTATACTTTACATTGATGTTTATGATACTCTTTTTGATATGATCCAACATCCTAAAAAATACGGTACGTTCATCATATGGCTATATTTTTCACAATTGTAAGATATAACTTGAACCAAGTTATAAATATATTATAACATCATGTTTCAGGTTTTGAGGTAGCTGATAGAGGATGTTGCGGTAGTGGCTCTCTTGCTATATCTTATATGTGTAACACATTGAATCCATTCACATGCTCTAATTCTTCTTCCTATATATTTTGGGATAGCTATCATCCGACTGAAAGAGCTTATCAAGTTATTGTTGACAACTTGCTCGACAAATATTTAAGCAAAGTCATTTGATTTTAATAATATAAATTTAACTTATTTATAATACTTTTTTATTTTTCATTGTATCATAGAAAATTTATTCATTTAATTATTCATTTTAAAACTCATTGATTAGAACGTACATGTATCTGAATATTCCATATCCAAGAGTTACATATAAATTAACCGGATTACTTAATAATTTATTTATATGTATCTAGTTCAAGTTGAATTATTTTGTTTGCAATTATTTTTGACATGAATTATTAATAACATAAGAAGTTGCTTTTATCAATTCATGTAAGAAATCCTAGTTTATTAAAAGAATCTTATTTAGTAAAAATAGTAATGGTAATTTACTCATTATAGCTTTGGTTAATCTGTTAAGAGTACATTTAGCTATTTTAGGTAAATCTATTAAGAGTACATGTATCAAAAATCACTTTTCGTGCTCACCAATCATTAAATTGTCTCAGTTCAAACACTCTTAACTTTTAAGTTTTTTTAGAAAAATGACCAAAAAGATATGTGCACTTTTGATAATATCGGTAGCCAAATCAATTCTTGTAAACTCTCGTCATGCACCATGGTATACACAAAATCGAGTATTTTGTGCAATAACTATTGGATGTGTACCGCTCCAAAGAACAATGTTTGGAGGTATATTAACAAGAGGATGTCTTAAGCAATTAAACAATATGGCAAAACAATTCAACAGCACCTGAATCTTTAGATAAAGAGTTGGATGGTTTTATACTTTACATTGATGTTTATAATGCTCTTTTCGACAAGATCCAACATCCAAAAAAGTACGGTAAGTTCATCATATAAATATTTATTTCTCATTTGTATGGTATAACTTAGAACCAAATTATAAGTAAATTATTTCATCCTGTTTAAGGTTTTGATGTAGCTGATAGAGGATATTGCGGTAGTGACTCTTTTGCTATAACGTATATGTGTAACACTTTAAATCTATTCGCATGCTCTAATTCGTCGCCCTATATATTTTGTAATAGCTACCACCCAACTGAAAGAGCTTATCAAATTATTGTTGACAACTTGTTTGACAAATATTAATGTTAATCATTTAAATCAAACTTATTTCTATCTAGGGGAATTGCTGAAAATAACTCAATAATTGGATTTTTCAAGAAGTCTAGACCCTCTATTGAATATTTGGCAAAACTAAACTAAAGAGGTAGTGAAATTACAGCTCAATCATTTATGAGTAAACAAAAAACATCCACCACAGTTACAATTTTATCCCTGGGAAGTCTACATAAGAATTCTACTATTTTAGACTTCTAAAGAAGTTTACTTTTGTAGACAGTTAAAGAAGTCTACATAAGAACTCGACTACATAATTAGCTTTAAAAACTTAATTAGAAAATATAAAATAAATAAATTTCTAAAAAATTGGTAAACATAAGTAAAACATATATATTTGACATATATAGAATACAAAATTTTATACAAATGAATCAATTTAAATGTAGAAAGAAAATTTAATTAGAAAACAGCAACAACGCCTTAGAAGTCTACTATAAAAGTCTACTAGATAACTAAATCTTAAATTTTATTTATTAAAATTACAAAAAATATTATGATACAAAAATTATAAACATAACAAAAATATAGACAATTGGCATCTATATTAAATAAAATTTTATGAAAATAAATCAATTTATAAGTTTCATAAGTGTAAAGTTGAAAATGTTTAGAGTTTGAAGTTCAAAAGGGTTAGGGTTTGAGATGTAAAGTTTAGTGTATTGTTAGGGTAAATCCAAATTCCATATGAATCATAGTTTATGGTTTGGTTAATGATTTAGAGTCCATATCATTGATATTTGAACTTTAAAATGTGAAAA